GTGGGCATTGATTGTGAGTGGAAGCCTAATTACGAAAAGGGAAGCTCATCTAACAAGGTGATTGTGGATCAAAGCTGAGTACTTTTTTTAAGTAGTGGTCCTTCCCACCTCAATATCAAAGCTATTTTATTTTTAAAAGGGTGGTGGTAAAAAAATTTGATTCCTCATTTCTCACAATCTAAAAAGGGTGGGGCAGCCCGGTGCACTAAGCTCCCGCTATGCACGGGGTCGGGAGAAAGGCTGGACCACAAGGTTCCCCTTCTTTCTCACAATCTAAAGAGGGATCTTGGACTATACCAGAGTCAGCTTAATCTACCCAGGCAAAGTGAAGATATTTATGTTGATACATATCTTCCTAACTAAAGTACCACAACAAAGTAGTTACTTCTTCCCTGAAACATAATGGACTTTGCTTCTCTGTCCTCTTCCTCCCTCGGGGCTGATAAGAAAATGAGCCTAGAAGTTCAAAGACCAATTCATAATAAGTTGCGTTTCATGGGTTCGCTCATGTGACAAAAGAAGTATGCATGTGAGTAAATCCCGTTTTCTTCTCTTTTCTTTTGTTCTAATCTATTATTAACTCATAAGGCTCTGATGTCATTATTAATTATGGGTCATGAATAAGTTCTGGGCTATGTTTCCTGGTTCCTTTTTTGTTTAATTTTTCTCCCTCTGGAATCAGGCACAGTACATAATTTGGTGATTCATCCATCTCTTTATTTTGTCTAGGTAAAAGAAGGTTCCGAGTTTTCCATTGAACTGATTTAACAACCCCTAGCTAATATGGAAATATGAGTGAAAGTTCCAATGTTTTGAGTCTCTCGTGATGAATAAAAGGGTCTGTCTAGTGAGTACGCTTCAATGCTTTTCTGTGCATTGTATCTGCTTTTTTTGTTTTTTAAATTTGATGGTGAGAATTTTGGAGCTAATAGGATATTCGCCTTTTGTAATGGCTGAGTAAAGATATGATGTTCTCCATCAATGTCTTCTCAGTCTAGTCTGGTTTATTGCGTTCTTTCCCTTCATTTAGAAACGAAAGCTTTATAATCTTTAACTTGAGTGTCCTTGTTGTTAGGCATGATAGAGAATATGTTAAATATGACCGACTCCTTTGGAGTGAAGAAAATGCACGTTCAACAGTATAATAGCTTTTCTATTTCCCCCTGCAACAGGTTTCTATCATGCAGATTGCTTCTGACAACAAGGTTTATATACTTGATCTGATAAAGTTATATGAAGATGCTCCGGATGTATTGGATGACTGCTTAACCCGCATATTGCATTCAACAAGAGTACTGAAGCTTGGTAAGAGAGAACATTGTCTTTTAGAAGATAACAACAACATTCTTTTAATTTGCTTAAGCATTTTCCTGCTTAAAGGTTCATTACACCTTTTATGCTCCAAGAAAGAAAACTCATTGATTCTCATGGCTTCTTTTCAATTTTTGCACTACTTATATCGAACAGTATGCATTCATTAAGGGGGAACGCTGATATAACAATATATTTGTATGGAACACATTCCTGCTTTTCTTTGGTCTACCAGTATATTTTCAATCTGTAAACTCTTGCAGAGAAATTTCTGCAGTCATAATTGGGTATTTTCCAGGTTACAACTTCCAGTGTGACAT